GGGTTTTCTTGGACGCAGCTCCTTCTGCTCCATTCACTCTCATCCTCTCCCCATCCCTACCATCCTTGGCATTTTTGCAGAGGGTCAAGAAGCAATGTTAACAAAAGGACATGTAATGTCGACTTGTATTTGGGTTAGGTAACCCTTGGCCAAACTACTTTAGTAATCTTTCGCCATTTGTTTGGTTTCATTAACATGAATGTGACCCTGAAGGTTTTGAGCTGAGTAGCAGATGCCGATAAGTGCACATCCCGGATTGTCACAACCGATTTCGAGGGCCGTCCTGGAGGAAAGAGCTTGCGTGGATCTTGAGAACGCGAGCCCACGGGTCCACTCAACGAGCCCATTCCAGTGCCAGGTCGGGCCAGCAGGTAGGGATTGCCACCTGTCCTGGCTTTACCAGGATCATCCTCAGTTCATAAACTATTCAAAACTATGCACTATTTTTCATGGGACCACCTTTGCCAGAGTATGTTTTTTGTTTGCATTCTGACCACAAGTATTGTGGTTAATGCAGGCATGATTCCTTGTAAAAAGGTTTCAGTTTTGTTGCGAGAGAAAAGGGGAAAAGCCTATTCTTACACTTTTTTTTTGTTTACCAGGTAAGGCCCAATTAGCTATGTATCTTTATAGATTTGAAGCTTTCGTGACTGCAAGGATTCATACTCTTAGGTTTTTTTCGGTAAAGTAATGTAGGGAAATTTTTTTAATAAAATAATGAAACGAAAAGAAATAATGATTTATTATTTTATTTCTATTATTTTTATTCTTTTATTGCTTATGTTTTGCTATGTATCTCTTTCTTCCCGTGAAGTGTCCGTCACGGGCGACCCTGCTTGCAGTGTGTCTGTCTGCTGTGGGAACCCAGGTAGAGAACGGTGAGTCCGCTTCGAGAATCTTCGTTACTGGCAGCTTGGCGTTTTTTTGGCCTTTGGACCCGTGGTCAGTGACCGTGATTTAAAATAAATTTCAGATAATTTTGCTGCTATAAATTTCCATGTGATAAGCCACTTTGTTGAGCTATCATTTGTGACCAGGTCACTTGTGAAAAATAAGTTTATACTTCAGTAGACTTTATCTGGTACGATAAAAAATAGTTCAATTTTATTTGTACATATATTTTAAGTAATTTGTTTACCTTTCCTATGCTCTGCACTCCTATCGTGTTTTTATATTGTATGGATGAACAAGTGCCCATCAATTAATATAGATTTCATGAAGAGAATAAGAATAGACACCATTCTTTCGGCTTCCACAGTTGTGCTGTACGGTTCTTCAACGGGACATCTGTAAAAAAAAGCTTTATAGTTCATCGGATTCCTCCACTATAAATGAATATTCAGATTCTGATTAAAACGCCATTTGTGTCCTTGAGAGCTTTGGAGCGGGGTTTGTGGAGACGATCATGGGCATGAAACAACGCGTTGCATGTCCTGGGCCAGTAACCACTTAGCAATGGACCACTTCTCTCATCCAGAGAGCTGATTTGACGAGTTGTCACAAATCGAGGCGTTGCAAATTTGAGTAAAGAATATATTACGTTTGATCTCGCTTTTATCCAGTCAAAACCATTTTTGCTACTTTCATCCATCTTGCTCGTGCAGTTTTTTTCTCTTTCCCGCCATTACCATAAGAATACAAATAATTTGTATTTGCATTAAATGTTGCAGGAATTCAAAAGTAATTATGTTTACACGCATGATTTAATGCTTGTAAACCTGTGCTGTATAATGTACTGAATTTTAATTGATGCGTCGTTTGCTTCGCTGGGCGCTTAGGGGCCAGTAGATGGCAGCATGGCACGTGGTACGTATCCCCATAACTCGTTTTCTCCGGTCTTGTGAAGGTAAAGGTGCAGCGCTGAAATGACTTGTTCACGTCACTGCTGCCCGAAAGGCCTCACCTATTCGACATCTGTGAGAGACAAACAAGAGCTTCATAAACTCATCGGATTTCTCCAGGATAACAAAAAAATATTCTGATTCCGATGAGATGGAATTGAAGAGGGCAACCTGTGGATCGCAAGTGTGCGAATGACTACACCGCAGGAGCTGCCTTGCTCTCTCACTTGAATGCTTGTTTATCGCTAGACATTCATCATATAGTATGTGTGACAAACCGGTAACCGTGACCGCGTGCACTCTGGGTGATTTGGTCACGGTTAAAGTTAAAAATATCGAGAGCACAGCGTTTTAACAGGGGTGTGCTTCGTCTGGAGCTATTGTTCATGGGAACAGTGACCTCACGTCATTATCAGCTCAGGGGGTGGTGCGACAATCGGTTAGGTAGGGCACGAAAATTGTATTTGTCTCGCACGGTCGCACCCAGCATATTATATATCGCGGCTGCTCTTGCCTAATAGCATCATCCTTACGCTCACGGTGTCGAACATTTAACGCTGTATGGGGCGCTTCGTCTTCGCAAAATAAATTGTTCTTCTACACTGTTGTTGAAAACAAATATCACGGTGGTTGTCAAAGTGGCCCCAATTCGTATCTTTGGCCACCCCTTGTCCCCACGCTCGTTACACGACGGCACGGGAACATTGCAATAGCTGGTGACCTCGAAAGCTCAAAAACATCTCTGGGTCAGGCAATCTTCTGGGAGAGGGGGGGTTGTAAAGATGCCTTGCAGATGAACGCCACTGCCCTCTCCCTTCCCCCATCGCTTAACCTCTCCCCCTTCCTTCCTGACCTCACCTCGCCCTGCCACCCACCCTTCCTGGCAAAGATAGGTGGAGATAACGTTTACGATAAACACGTACGCGAAATGAATGGCCGTAATTTAGCCTCCGAGAATGAAACACATTTGTTTGGAAGCCACACGATGAACGCTCTTAGCAGGGCACATCAAAGTTGCGCTCCTATCGCGGTCACAGACGTCTATTGAAGTGACGTGCCAGCCATTCTTTGACACACTGGTGCAATGCTCTCTGCAATGGTAAACGACACAAAAAAATCTTCACCCCGCACCTCCGATAAACGCGGCGACGTACGGCGCGAAATAATTTGAACATACAATAGAAAATCAAAGGCTTGGAAAAAATCAAAGAGACGTGATTTACAAAAAAAATAGATATTGAAGCGTTTTAGGTGCCTATCAGGGCCCACCAATTGCGATGGGGGGTCTTGTTGAAGCCAATTGGCTTTGGGCTGGGTCAACACCACGTGATGGCGCGAGACTGGTGACGGAAGAGCAGTCTAAGGAGCAAAGGCAATCCCCCGGTGATGACCCCAGTGAGATGGAGTGACAGTTCACGTGCAGGAGTGAGATGGATGAGAACAGCACTGGACTGTGACAGATGGTGACGCCGAAAAGGGGGTGGGAGGAGGCTTCATCTAGCCGTGGATAGACACTGGCTTATGATGATGGCGATGATAATTATAATTGAAGTGGAGTATTCTGAGTAAGTTGTTAACTCAGCCTATCAGGGTTGATAAAATGAGTACCATTTTTGGAAAGACAATTGTCGTCATACGGTTAAACTGGTCGTGCCATAAGAATGTGGAATGTCCACCGCTGGCCCATGCCTGGAAAAGAGATCAACGCCTTCACGTTGTTCGTTTTAGCAAAGAGACGCGTCATATTTTGACTCATGATTTGGTTTTAAACATAGCAAAATTGTAACGTCATACATGCTGGCTGCCATTAATTGTACAATTTCTATACTCTTCGGTTCTTTCGGTAAAGTCACGTAGATATAAAATAAAAGTTACGTAGATATAAAATAAAATAAAAGTTTGAATGTAGTTAGAATTAGACATTTTTATTTTATTTTTCTACCTACGTGACTTTACCGAAAAAACCAAAGAGTATGGATCCCTGCAGTCGCGAAAACTTCAAATCTAGATTGTACAATTTCTGTAATTGCTCTCAACTGCAAAACGTTCAGCAAACATCCGTGAAAAGGCACGAGGGTGAATGGATGAGTGAACTCACGTTATTTCACATATGGTTGCCATTAAAGCGACTGATATGCCCACGCTGGATGCCTGCCAGAGGAATATGGAACTGACTCCACTGGTTCAGGGACACCAATGTGATTGGGGACCTCCCGTTGCTTGCTTGGTAAGGGAGACACATTCACGTTTCTTGAAAATTTTAAATTAATTGTGTTAAATTATAACGTTTTAAAGAAAGAAACTAAATTAAGCATCCATAATGGAGGATTTTTTGGGTTGGATCGCACTCAATATCAATGTGTCGTTAAACCTGCCACCACTCGACACAGCCAATTAGTAAGGTTTGTCACATAAAGAAAACACGCGAATGAATTACTAGTTTATATTGTGGCTTTACTCTCCAATACACCGGTGTGCTGAACTAATCACTAATTGGCACGTTTTATTTACGCGACAAACCTTACTAAATGGCTGTGTAGGGTTGTGGCGGGTTTAACGACACATTTATATTTACGCGATCTCACCCAAAAAACCTCTATCATGGATAATATTTTCCGCGAAACTACATGAAGCATATAGTCAATATATAGAGTCAATAAACGATGTCTCAATGCTGACATGTCAAATTGTTTACTAATCATGACTTAAAAATTTTGAAAATTATTAGCCGCTACACGAGCGCAACAAGGACGTGCACTCGGCAGGATGATGTCAGTTCTATTCGTGCTGACTCGGCTGGCTCTCTGGCCAGCCCTCTGGGAATTACTTGGCATTGATGAAATTTCAACCAAACAGAGCTTTAGAATTTGCCACTTAAGTAATATTCCAACCAACCATTACTAGCGTTCGCAGCTGGCCAAAATAGATGTATGTGTATTGACGGTAGCATCTAATGAGGCTCATGAACAATTTAAAGATGATTTTAAAAAACGTAAACGTTCTACCGAAAAAAAAACTGGTTGGCAGGAAGGAAATTAAAGCGGTTTCACAGTCATGGGAGGAGGAGGCGGCGGAGGAAGAGGAGGAGTGGATGGGTGGGTCAGGCCCCGTTATGAGAGGCACACTTTGTGGTCAGAGTCAGACTTGGCAGTGAATAACCGCCCGCACAGAGCTCTGGGAGTCCGTACAACAGTGACCGATTTGTTACCTGCCTCACTGCCTCGTCGACGAGAGTTCGCCCACTCATCTGTGCAGAAGGGGGCTTCGACTTCGACGAGGCCAGAGTCAGAAGACGTCGCAGCAGCAGCAACAGCGACGCCGTGGAGACACGCCGGACCGGACACTGTGGCCAGAGAAGGGACCCGTTGAGGGCAATGACGCTGTGGGTCATGCTGAGGGCCATCGTGCCGCGCCTGGTGTTCGCGGTGCATGCGCTGGCGTGCGTCTGGAGGGTCGCGGTGCACACGCAGCACCGCCTCTACTGGCTGCTGCTGCTCCTCGTGCTGCTGCTGCCACTCGAGCTGATCGTGACGCTGGTGCTACGCAAGGGCAAGGACTACAAGTGGTAGGTCTGGGCTGCCCGTCACTCGATGCTCCTCGCAGCGGTGTTTCTTCACTCGTTTTCAGAAGGGGCCGGGGGCGGACGGGCCGAGGGGGGACACTTTCGCCGATGAGGCATCATCAGTGTGAGTGCCGCCACACCGCCTGTAAGGGTTTTCTTTCACGATTTGTTAATTGTCTGGGGGCTGCACGTCAGAGGCCGCACTGGAGGCCACCGGTGGCCACCAGCGTCCCTTCAGGTCTTGCAATGAAGGACGCTGACACTTTAAAGCTTTCGTGACTGCAGGGATTCATCTTCTTGGTTCTTTCGGTAAAGTCACGTAGAAGGGAAATAATAAAATAAAAATATTTTAATAATAAAATAATAAAAATAAAACATTTTTTTTTATGTTTTATTATTTTTATTTTATTATTTCCCTTCTACGTGACTTTACCGAAAGAACCAAGAAGACGCTGATACTATTTTTATTTTACCAGGTAAGGCCCACTGAGCTGTACAGCTCTTTTTCAGAAGCGATCTCGGCCACAAATGACCGCTCAACGAAGGGGACATTTATAGCAGCCAAATATTCGAAAGTCTAAACGCACGGGTTTTTTTTTTACACGTGGAGGGAAAAAGCGGGAGGACCCGGAGAAAAATCCACGCGACCACGGGTAGAACACGCAAACTCCAAATATACAGCGGGCGTCAGGGTCGGGATCGAACTCACGACATCCTGTATACCAGGCGAGGTAGTTAACATCTCTCGACGCTGCCCCGGTGGAGCGGTTAGCGGCGGCACTGGACTTGCAATCCAGAGGTCGCCGTATCGAGTCCATCTCCCAGCTTGACAGTCGAAACACAACTTTCTTCAAATCTAGATTTAAAGCTTTCGGGACTGCAAGGATTCATACTCTTAGGTTTTTTCGGTAAAGTCACGTAGGTAAAAATAAATAATAAAAATAAATAGAAATAAAATAATAAATCACGACGTTTCGGGCGCAACACAAGTGTCCGTCATCAGGTGGGGCAACCACAGCAAGAAACAATTGCTGAAGTGGGCTGTGGTTGTCCCACCTGATGACGGACGCTTGTGTTGCGCCCGAAACGTCGTGATTTATTATTTTATTTCTATTTATTTTTATTACTTATTTTTACTTACATGACTTTACCGAAAAAAATCTAAGAGTATGAGTATTTATTCAAATCCTCACTACATCCTCTGTCCACCAGGCAGCAGCAATTGGTACACCCCAATATGGGAACTTTCTTGCCAGTGTCGAAATATAAGAATAGGTTTTACCCTTTTTGGCAATAAAACAGGTGTTAAGATGTTAAATCACCCAACATAATCCTTTCAACATACATTCAAGAATTCAGTTCGGTATTTTAGCATCTTAACACCTGCTTTATTTTTCGATTTAAAGCTTTCGTGACTGCAGGGATTCATCTCCTTGGTTCTTTCGGTAAAGTCACGTAGAAGGGAAATTAAAAAAAATATTTATTATTTCCCTTCTACGTGACTTTACCGAAACAACCAAGAAGATGAATACCTCTTCTTGGTTCTTTCTGTAAAGTCACGTAGAAGGGAAGTAATAAAATAATACAAATAAAACATAATAAAATTATTCTCACGACGTTTCGGCCACAATGCAAGTAGCCGTCCTCAGGTGAAAACCAGGTCCGTCGAGGCGACAAAGTCTGAATGAAACAGCACACGAGCTTGGAGCATATATATAAGCTGGGCGCCTTGACAAAGGAATTTGCATATCAAGAGGAATTTAGCATATTTATGGGAAATGCTAAATTCCTCTTGATATGCAAATTCCTCTCTTCTGTCAGCAGTGACATAAGCAGCTATTGCAGGACTTCACGATTACCTGTTACTTTTGTTTTACTATTCTGGACAACCCTGTAATGCTGTAGATTTAGTGATGAGTTTTCAACAGCATTGCCAGCAGCCACCTCCGATTATCATGGTTGGCTACGTACGGTGCGAAAAAAGTGCAACATACAAACATACAGCCACAATTAATCAGTAAAATCAAATCAACTTATTCCCCTGATAAAATAAATGTGCGGTTATGGTTATCCTGTTTTTCCTGATGCCGATCCAGTTGAGGAAATTCCACAGTCCTGTGGAATCAACCATCCTCTTTTAAAAAGAGTATGGGGCACACACGTGAACTCCGGCCATCCTCACAACGGCAGTGGCCTTTGGCTGCTGGCCATCAAGCAAAGACGGTCACCGCATTGCGTGGCGCTTTCAGCAGACGCGCTTTTGCTGCCGTCTGGAAACGCTCTTCCTTCCGATATGAGGAAGCCACTGGAACTGTGGACTTTTAAATCATCTTGATTGAAAATTCATCTCTTTAGAACTGCTGAGTGTGTTGTCCTTCCCCCGCACCTCCGATTAGCCCTGTTGGCGACGTACTGTGCGAAATAAGTTCAATATACATACGTACATGAAGGTGACACTGAGCAAAGGGCACGTGTGACATTTCCATTGTACATATGTCACGCAAGAGGTACGGCGAAATTTGTTCATTTCTGGGGATTTGCCATTTCTAAAACTTGAGTACATTACTCTGCCTTGTGAGTTAGGGAGTTTTGAGTGCGGAGCGGAAACTGTTGAGCGAAGATGACTGTTCAATGTGGAGCGAGAAGTTTGTTCCGGTAAAGGGGGGAAAGAGGAGAGAAAGAGTGAAAGCGTGGATTGAACTACGAGCAATCCACAGTTGGATAAGGCCCCCCACCCCCTCCTGTCTCCAAGTGTCAGAAATTGTTACCCCCTTTGCATAAACACCCAGGTCCCAATATTTATTATGTATTGACTACATTATGGTCCTAATACAGCAACTGAATAATTGATGACTGAGTGGCTGGGTGCTTCATTAAGACCATCACGGAACCTTATCTCCAGGCTTGGTCAGCACCATTATGTAATCGTTTTTGTGGTCCATCTCTTTACCAGGCTCTCTTTGGCAATACTCCTGTACCTGATCAATGTGGTGCCTGCCATCTGGCTTCTGGAGGTTCGATATTTTGAGACGAAACTGAATGAAACCTGCTCCAATGCCACGATCACCATCACCACCACCGCTGCGCAGCTACCGGTGCACCGGGAACCGCTGCAATTTAAGGTGAGGAAACCATGCCATCCATCTGTTAAATATATGTGTACATATGAAGAACTTGTTTCGCACCAACCGTGATAATCGGAGGTGTGGGCAACACTCACAAGATGAACAGACACCATCGTTCAAAGTTCTTGGCTATTGTTGTAGAAGACGGGAAGGTTGTTGTCATCTCAAAGAGCTCACGTATTATGTCCCCTGCCTACTGCCTGCATCCATCTGGTGGCATGGATCAGTAAAGTTACGATTCACATCACCCGTCGATGCAATCAGGCAGAAAGAGAGGTGTTTTTTTGTGATGGGTGGGTTATGTCCGTAGAAAGGTGAAGGGTAGGTTACCGATAAGGGCGTTATTTGGTGACCAAGGGGAATACCTCAGCGAGATGGTTGAGGCATTGTGAGACATTGTGATACATAACGAGAGATGGTTGTGACTTTGTGAGACATTATGACAGACTGTTGAGACATTGTGAGAGATGATTGAGGCATTGTGATACATTATGACAGACAGTTGAGACATTTTAGACATTGTGAGAGATGATTGAGACTTTGTGAGACCTCTTCTTGGTTCTTTCGGTAAAGTCACGTAGAAGAGAAATAATAAAGTAATAAAAATAAAACATAATAAAATACAATTCTTACGACGTTTCGGCCAAAACGCAAGCAGCCATTGTGGCCGAAACGTCGTGAGAATTGTATTTTATTATGTTTTATTTGTATTATTTTATTATTTCCCTTCTACGTGACTTTACCGAAAGAACCAAGAAGATGAATCCCTGCAGTCACGAAAGCTTTAAATCGAAACTTTGTGAGACATTGTGAGAGATGATTGGGACATTGTGAGATGTTGTGACAAATGGTTGAGGCATTGTGAGACATTGTGACAACAGACCTCGGAGGTTCGTTGTTGACTCCAACCTTTATCGGATCTGGCAGGAACAAAAAAAGTTTTACAGCGACCATGACATTATTGGCCGTGATGATTTCTTTATTTGGAACCGATTGTAAGCATTGAGTCAGCTTTATTGGCCTGATTATTGCAGGCCAGGTTGTATTAAACTTGAGAAATGTTCTAATGGCACAGGGAGGATGATAAACAGCTGTCATCCCTGCAGTTATACAGATCTAGATACGAAGGGTCAATCATTGTATGCGGGTTGCTGGTATTGCAGTGCAGTGTGTGCTAACCACTTTTCCACCACTCCCCCCTCCCCTTTCACGCACCACACACACAACACATTCACACAAACGTTGTGACCAGCAAGACGCGACTCTTTATTCGGGAAGCTCCAGACTTCGCTGCGACCTCGGAATCTGGCTTCGCGTCGTCGGGAACGGACACCGTGGAATTTCTGTTTCCGAGCACCAAGGCGCCGACCGTCCGTCCTCTCGCGAGGGGCCCAACCACCTCTGTCCCGGTCACCGCCAGCGCGGGTTACTCGCCCACCCAGATGTTCGCCCTCTTCGGGGAGGAGGCGACGCACGTCGCCATGACCCGCTGGCCCGAAATGAGCGACTCGGATTATCTCGGAGAAGAGCCGCGGGTTGGCGCGAGCGTTTCCGAGGCTCCTACGACTCTCCCCACACCCCTCTCTCCCCCTGAGGATGTCGGTCGCAGGGGGAGGAGCGGTCCTCATGGCAAAGGCAGAGACGCCAGCTACATTATCTCTCAGGTACAGCGCTGTCGAACAATAATGACCCATTCTAGATTTGAAGTTTGACCCAATGACCCAACCTCACCGTGCCTCATTAGTAACAAATACGTAGATAAATGTTGACTTTAAACTTTCGTGACTGCAGGAATTTATATTCTATGGTTCTTTCGGTAAAGTCACATAGATAGAAGAAAAATAATAACAATAAAAGAATAAAAATAAAGTGAATAAAAATAAGAAAATATTACAACGTTTCGATCGCAACACAAGTGGTCGTCATTCTGATGACGTAATATTTTATTTTATTATTTTTTATCCCTTTATTTTCATTTGTATTATTTTATTGTTATTCTTTTTCTATCTACCTGACTTTCCGAAATAACCATAGAATATGAAATACGTCAAAAAATCAATGCCGCGTGAGTTCCATTGCCAATTAAAAACAAACCGTGCATGAGCATTTATTTAATGGGAGCGAACTCTGGACTCGGTTTTGGTTTGTCAGTGTCATCATCAGGGTTGTGCCCGTTTAAATAAACAATCGCTACCCTTGGAACCTCATTTGCCAGTAAAAATATGATAATTGTTTTTTTTACCCTTCTATCTGGCAACAAAACTGACACCTTTTTTTACAAGGAGTCATGTTTACATAGACCACAATACCTGCAGTCATAATGCAAACAAAAAACATAACTCTGATAATGGGCACTGTCCTTAACCAATCAACTTCAATAACTATAGACAACACGTTCTGCTTAATTAAATAGACTGTTATTGTTATAACAACACTCCTACAACATCAGAGTGCAGCGGCACATTAAATACGCACTACAATGACAATAGTTTAAAGCAATTTGAAGCATGTTTCATTTGGGAGGGGGCGGGGCAGAGCTTTGTGACGTCATATTTGAGGGGGGGTGTGACTTTTTGTGACGCCGTGTGACTGGGGGGGGGGTCAAAAATCGTCCAAAATCGCGTGACGTCACTTATGGACGGCCCCTAAGACTTTGATTTAAGGAGAACCCTGCCTACATTGGCATGTTTGTATCGTTGGCTTACTTGTTCAAGGAGAGTATAGTGACCATAGACAAACTCACGGAGATACCTGAATGTGATGAATATGAACCTACTTGCTGTACTGCCTGCCATGGATTGATTCTTCGTTGTACTGCGGGAAGGTGTATCATGCAGGCCCCATCTCTGTGCGATCTACTAACCCTGGCCCCAGTTACCGTATTGCGGGAAATCATCGCCACGCGTATTAATAAATTGACCTAAATTCTTATTTCTCAGTGATTATATATATTTTAAAAATGCGTAATATACTGCATGTGTATGTTACACCAAGGCAGTGCCTACTCAATGTTTTCATAGCTTTGCCGAACTGCACCGAACATCTCTTCGCCGTGTGTTTTTGGGTCGTACCGGCGAGGTAGTTAACATCTCGCCACCGAGGTGCCCTACTGTGAGAGGCCTCTCCCACGGGGCGGGGTGCCACCGGTCGCCTTCGCCAGAAATCTCAGCCTCCCTCGCCGTCTCAGCCTTTCTCCCCCCACATTACCGACTGCGTGCCGTCTCCCCGCGCAGGTGAAGCAACTGGAGTCCACGGTGAACAACCTCCTGGACTCGAACGAGGCGTGGATCCTGTGCATCCACCAGATGCTCCTGCTGCTCCTCATCATCGGGCGCTGGTTGCTGCCCACGGGCACCGAAGTGTCCCGCGAGAAGCTCTCGCAGCTGCTCCTCGAGTTCATCGGCACGGCCGGCGACATCCTGGAGTTCAAGACGGAGACGATGCAGGACTCCGTAGTGAGGTGCGTTTCGACGCCACGGCGCAGTGTCTTACGTGGTTCCCGCGTGCCTCGGCTGGACATGCAGACACGGGACTTTGAGTAAAATTCAGCTCGTATGTATGTACGTATGTTCAACTTCTTTCACATCGTACCGTGCTAATCGGAGGTGCGGGGGGGAAGGACAACAAACTCGACGCAAAATAGCAGTTCGAAAAGAAATTCGTTTTCAATCAACGCACGTGGTGTTCGCGCGCTCTCACAGAGAGAGAGAACGACTCAGAGGTGCGAGGAAACACAGAGAAGCATGAAGGCTGCCACGTGGTGAGCAGGCGCCAACAATTGGCCGAGTTCTGCGGTTCTCTATATGTTAATGAGTTGTTTACTTTTCAAGCAGGAGACATTTGGCAAGGGGTTTGGTAGGCAGATACTGTACATGAGACAACTGGTTTGTTAAGACTTGCCAGGGTCATTGTGGGCTGACGGTGTTTTTTTTTATATTTCTGTGCTCCTTTTCATTCGGTCGTGTAAGTAAAAAAAAATGTGTGTCGTTAACCCTCCTCCACCCGACACAGCCAATGAATAAAAGTGTCACGTGATTCGACCGGTGCGAATTTATTACCGCTTCAGCAGCACGACCTGTGTTGTAGTTGTAGAGAAATATCACACCCAGAATCCTCAGGTTGTTAAGGGGAGCTCAGATCTTGAGAATCATAACGTTGGTCGTATAAAATGTCTTACCTACTTATTTATTTGAATGCAATAATTCACGGAAGGGCTTCGATTTGATCTGACATATTCATTGCCTCTAGTTGAGTCTTGGCAATCGCATTGCTTGTGGCTGCATCGGACTCACGGCATCCGACTCACAACATCTGGCTGCCCAGTGAGATTGGATTGTTGAGCCAGTCAGAACACCTCGACAGTAATGACAGGTCAAAGATTGTGTTCCATAAACAATTTTATTCCTGCACGTGCTTACATTGCTTATTAAACGTCCCTCTTGTCGTCGTTATTTCGTTCCACCGCATCCTCTCGTCTCACCCTCGGGCTCCCTCGACCCCTTCTGGCCTGCACCGGTGGCATCTACACAGCCATTCTCACTTCATCTGGGTGCCACGGTGGCGAGATGTTAACTAGCTCGCCAGGTATACAGGAGGTCGTGGGTTGGATCCCGACCCTGATGCCTGCTGTATATTTGGAGTTTGTATGTCTGTCCCCGTGGTCACGTGGATTTTCTCCAGCTCCTGTTTTCCCTCCACATTTTAGAATCAACATGCGTTTTAGAGTATTTGGCTGCTACACATTTCCACGTGATAGGCCAATTCGTCGAGCTATCATGTGTGATAGCCAGGTCGCTTCTGAAAAATAGCTATATACCTGATGAAATTTTAATTGTTTGCTTTGATCTTCTTTCTCTATGCTCAACGCGAGCCCAAAGCATCGACGTGTCACCTCGCTGGTCTTCTCAGGGATATCAGTAATTCCGGCAAATGCTGGAACTGCTTCATCCCACCTCCATTTTTTTCTCAGAGATATTCCCATCATCCATCTCGGCATCGGCGTCTCTGTCCCTTTCAAGCGCTCTTTATTCCACCTTCCTCAGTGACCGCGTCTCTTTCAGCAAGCGCCACTGGAATACATCAACCTGTGCGTCCCAAAAAGCTGACGAACTGAATGTTAGTTTTATTCGTGTATTCTGCCCGAGAAGATGTTGTATTTTATTTCATATAGCACACAATTTTTTCGATGGGTAGCCGTTGACAAAAACGAACATTTATCTTTTGTAATTCAAATGCAATTTTTTTTGGCTATGACATTGGCACACAACAGCATTGTCTTGTGAATGGTCTCACGGGAGCTTTAATATCTCGTACTCTCGAACGTGCATTGTGTGTTGGTAATTCACGTAAGAATTTCGCACTGGGAATGGAACTGGCAACTTCACGCACAGTGGGTCAAAACGATGGGCAAGAGGACGAGTGACCACGAGGTTAATTCAGCTGCATGTGTGAGAGAGATGTGTGTGAGAGAGATGTGAGAGAGATGTGAGAGATGTGCGTGATAGAGATATCTGAGAGAGATGCGAGAAGATGTGAGCCTCAGTTAAACAGTTACCATTGACGGGCTGTCGGTGACTTCAGAGTGTGCGTTTCCCGTCGTAGTTTTACGTGATTTACGAGTCAATTGACAACTCTGAAGTGCAAACGCAATTCTCCCACAACTGGCGGCCACCCAACGTGACTCTTCTTATATATAAATTAGTAGGCGATACTGGGTAGACAGTGGTGCATCAGCACAAATAGTTAGACAACTCAATGCGTTTGTTAACGGCACTGTGAGAGGCGAAATTTATGGCAATGGTTATACTACCACAGCCACAAACAAGTCCCAAGGCACGGCACCTCTCTGTGTGCCATGAAGGACGATTGCCCGAAACGTCGACTATTATACACTTTTTTAAAAGTCCGTGTTATTGACGAATGTGCTGAGTTGTCATTAATAACTTCTATGTAAACCATTTTTGATGGCCGATTTATTTAATAGATTTAAACCAACGTCTTCACCTACAGGATATATTTTACCATGCTTTGTACCAAAGATAATTTCAATTGTTACACGAGTTGAATAATGTTGTTTATAATTACATAACGCATTTTTTTGTACAAGAAATGCTAAAAATGCCGTGAGGCATATTTTTATATTAGACTTTTGTGCGTGCGTGTGCGACTTTTTCAAGCAGACCTTTGAAAGCCATCAGTATTATAGAAAAAGTTCAACGCGTTCGATGATTATAGAACAAATGCTGAGAGGCTCTTTGATTAACCCACGTGGCTCGGTGCCCTGCAGGTGCAACAGGCCGCTGTTCTATTGCATCATGGCAGTCTGGACGTGGAGCTTGATACAGTTTCCGCTCGTCATCAAAGGTACGCATCTCACTCGGTGGCTCGTAGAGATAATGCCCAGGTCCGGAGAGTAATAATAATAACAACAACAACAGTAATTCTCCATGGGACCTCCTTTGTCAGTATCAAAATATAAAAATAGGTTTTGCCCTTTCTGGCAATAAGGGTAAAAACTATTTTAATATTTTGATACTGGCAAGGGAGGTCCCATGATGTAGCTGCTCAGCTCGATCTATAAATGCCCTAAATGTGCATTGTCTTTGTGCTGTTCGCCTTTTGGAGTCCTCTGGTCCAACACTGTTTTAGACTAGGCTCTAAAGAAAGCTGTCTCTGGTGTGGACCAATCAGTTTCAAATACGATAAATATATTACCAGAGCATGTTTTTGTTTGCATGTTCACCAAAAGTATGTGTGCGTGGTTAATGCAGACATGATTCCTTGCAAAAGGTTTCTGTTTGGTGTTTTAACATCTTAACACCTGTATTAGTGCCAGAAAGGGTAAACCCTATTATTATAATAGTAATTCTATTTATGAAGGGGACTTTTTATCATGGATCACAAAGCATTGTACACAACGAAGCCGACACTTAAGTCATGCAATTAAAAGGTAAGACTTTGAGAAACAATAACATAAATGCTCAATGAAGTGGCTGATCGTGTGGAAATTTATAACAGCTAAATACAATGAACGTATGTTCATTCCAAATGTGGAGGGAAAACCCGGAGGGCACGGAGAAAAATCCACACGGGATCGAACCCACGACTTCCCGTATACTAGGCGAGGTAGTTAACATCTCATGGCCACCGTGGTGCCCTCATCTTGTCTTCTGCCGGCCAAGTCGCACGTTTGAAAAAGAGTTTGTGGCCCAATGGGCTTTACTCGGGTGACAAACTTCTGATTCTGTTTGTCTGCGTCTCTTCTGTCATCGCACAATGATTCTATGAGTCAACGTCCGCTTAGGGCCCCCCAATGGGCCATCACCACCACCGCCCAGAGCTGCGCTCTTGTTAGACCACGACGTGACCTTGCGGTGACGCGTTCGCCGCTCGTTGCAGATTTTTTTGTGGTTCAAACTCACCCGGCTGCCCTGGCCAATATCACGGGGGGGTGTTCGCCACCGATACGCGCCGTCTCATTCACAGCGGACGTTACAGATCCCGTTTTGTTTTTTCGAAGAAGAGTAGGCCATACGCGTGCCACTGAGCTGCCGTGTGATTGTAACGTCGTGGTCCAAATTGGCGAGAATTACCCAGAAATCACTTGATTGGGAAAACATTGCCCCCCACTCCGATTAGTCCCCCACATATCCGATTAGCGCAGCTGGCTACGTACGGTGCGAAAGAACTCCAACGTACGTACACACTACTGGCAGGATAATGCCCTGTTGGGGGCCTGTGCTGCCATTAACCTTGCGCCGCACGTGGGCAGCTGCCATCAGGGGGGGTCCTCGAAGCTAAAAACACGCTTGGGATGACTGAAATGCGACCTTATAATACATTATATGGTTGCACACATTACACACAAAGTGCTTGCCACAAATGACCACATTACCTTGCTGATCGCTCGCAGCCAAGAGCATCCTCGCAGCGGTTCCTCTTGGCTGAGAGCGATCGAACAAAGACGATAACCGCATTGCCCGCTTTCAGGTGCGCTTCGGCGTCCATCTGGAACGCTCTTCTTCCTTCCAATATTAGGAAGCCACTGTAGCTATACACATTTAAATCTAGATTAAAAACTCATTTCTTTAGAACTGCTTTTTGTGTTTAGTTTGTTGTCCTTCCCCCGCACCTCTGATTGGCACGGTTGGCTCCGTACGATGCGGAAAGAAGTTCAACATAATGAAAATATATCATCGGTTTTTACCCTTTCCGGCAATAAAGCAGGTGTTAAGATATTCAAACACCAAATAGATTTATTTTGCAAGGCATAAAGTCTGCATTATACAGTACTTGTGGACAAACATGCAAACAAACAAATTACCTTCGAAACTGATTGGCCTACACCAGAGACAGCCGTACAGGTGAGATGTGTGATGCGAGGCCTTTCCTTGAGTTGCCGAGGCGCCGACGGGCCCAGCAAGCGCACATCCCGACGAAAAGGTCACGACCTTTGGGGGCTCAGACTCAGCACGTCCCCCCCCCCCCCCGCGCGCTCGGCAGTTCACCAGGCGCTGCCGGGCTCGCAGGAGAAAGCACCGGCCCGCGGGTGGAGGACTCTGGTGCGCGTCTACAGCACGGATCTGTGGGCCATCGTCATCAGCGTCTTCATCCAGGATGGGCCCTTCCTCGTGGTGCGAAGCCCTCGGCCTACACCCGTGCCGAGACCGAACGAATACGGCGTCGCGTTTTACGGAGCACGGTTTGGTCACCCGTGTCTGTTTTGGTCCACAGCTCAGAGAGTGATGTTCGTGTATGCGGCAGCCAGGTTTGATCGGCTCTGTAGTGGTCAGGGAACTTTTCGCTGAGCTGCTTTATAATTATGAGGTCACACTTAGAGCGAAGGTTCAGAAATAAAAGGGTAATTATGCCAATGTGATAAAACATATCATTAGGCGATCTGCAGGTCAGTTACTGTTAAAGCTTTTCCGAGAAATTACCAAATTGCATATCTGTCAACCCATACGGTTTACCCGTATTCTTGAACAAGGAAATTGAGTTTTCAGGTCCATAGGGCATACAACTGTTTTAATATGGGCAAAAAAAACCGTGTATTTGTTTGTATTTCTCCCTTGTGATGGGACTTGGAGGATGAACGTTGAGATTTATAAGGGCATGGGGTGACCAATAAGGTGTGAATTGGTCTGTAATAAGGTCGGGCACTGATGAGGGGTTGAATTGTGACTGTTTTCCACTGACATGGCCAATTCTTCTGCAGAAAGTTCATAAAAAATGTACTTCTTACCACCACATGAATTAGGTTATAGATGTCACGTGAACAAACCAACAACAAGCCAACACACAAACCAACAACAAACAAATACACAAGCCAACACACAAACCAACATACAAGCCAACACACAGACCAACACACAAGCCAACACACAAATTGACACACAAGCCAACACACAGACCAACACAATCCAACAACACAAACCAACAACACAATCCAATAATACAATCCAACACAAACCAACACACATGCACAATGCCTGCTCGTGAATGCGCACAAGGGTGGACTTGAACGTTGAGCTGCTCACAGCTCAACGTTCAAGCCGGAATTCCACCTGAATAAATCATCGATGTGTGTTCCCTCGCTCTGTGTTTAGCCCCATTTTCACCTGATGATGAGCGCTTGTGTTGCGTTCGAAACGTCGTGATTTATTGAAATTGTATTTTATTTGTGATTTATTTAAATGCTATTTTATTTCTATATACGTGACTTTACCGAAAGAACCAATGAGTATACACATTTTTTACTTGCATAGTAAAGTAATTGTATTTTTTCATTAGCTATACAGCCAGATAATACGACAAGTCGCTAACCTTAAACACCCAGTCGTTCATACAAGTTGAAGGCGGTATAGTACTATAGTAATAGAGCAAGTGCAGAATCACTGAACCGGAATTGATAGCTTGAAAGCATTTAGCGCGGGGCCCTTGAAAGTGCGGGGGCCGTAGCTACTACATAAGTAGCTACTACATATGTAGCTACTTTTGCTCCTCGGATAATCCGGCACTGACTGTGCGCACCTGCTATGACATTACACTGCGGTGGCTTCAAAGCGTGTTGCCCATCTCCGCTAACCGCTCGTCTCCCGCGGTCCCGCGCAGGTGCGGCTGCTGCTGCTCATCCACTTCGGAGTCCTCGACCAAATGCAGATGCTCATCTTCTTCACCATCAAGAACGTGCTCGTGCTGATGCTGCAGGCCTACCGCCTCGTGGTCATCTACGGGGACTACCGCGGGCTCTGCCTGAGTGGTCCCACGGCCGTGCCGTCACCGCGGGAGCGACAGGAGGGGAAGAGCCCCGGAGAGGTCCCCAGCGATGCGGGCACCCTCGCCACGGGCGACTCCTTCACCATGGCCATTACAGCCTCGAACAGCGAGAAAATGAGGGAGTGCCCTTAATAAAAGCGAAAACTTTTTGTAACAATTTTTTTTGGTATTTTACCAGGTATAAGCCCCACCGAGCTATGTAGCTTATTTTTCAGAAGCGACCCTGGCTACCACGTGGACATGTATGGCAGTAGTCGAATACTCTGAACGCGTGTTGTTGATTCTAAGTGTGGAGGGGAAAACCGGAGGACCCGGAGAAAAAAAATCCACGCGACCACAGGGAGAGAGAGAGAGACATCACAAACTCCAAATATACAACAGGGGTCAGGGTTGGGATCGAACCCACGACGACCTCCTGTACACCGGGCGAGGTAGTTAACATCTCGCTACCGTGGCGCCCTTAACTGACGGATGACCGCGAACTTCAAGTTTCGCGAGAGGAAGGCAATAGCTGATTGCGTTTAGCGTCGATCAGTTGGTGCGCAGACTCTCGCTACAAACAAAGGTGACGGCGTTTGTTTTGTTGTTACTTTTACCGCGACCGCATGCCGAACGCTTGCGGGGAATTTGCAAACGCATGATGTCTGCTGGGGTGGAAAAAATACTTTAAAGACCCTGTCACAGTTTTCTTGCAAGATTGGGACGATTAGGCGAGAGTGCTACGGCAACGGACGACTGAATTGCTCCACGCAACGCGTTCTGGTTTCAGTACCCGCTTGAGCCGGGAAACGTCACAATCGGATCAAAGGTTTCCCCGGGGTCAAACGTTACTGTTCGCCATAAACCGGTAACGAAGAAAATATATTTAGTAGGCAAAGTATCTACATTAGTTTAAATTTGAATAAAGGAGAACCTCTCTTATCCGCGGGCCTATTACCCACGACTTCTATTATGATAGAAAGTCGTGGGTAATAGGATAATTATCCTCGGAACCTGTAGGGCCTGTGAAGCTTCTATTATATCCATGGGCCTATTTCTTCATATGATCTGCGATTGTACCCATAATGCGTAGCAAAGCGGCTTCCTAATGCTTGTGATGTTTTTGCGAATAAGAGGAGTTGTTTGGAAATGTACTCCTAATCAGAACCGGCCCTAGACCTTTGGGGGCCCTAAGCAAAATTTGGTTGGAGGCCCCTTTGATGTATGATTTTTTTTCACCCACGAGCTAGCAGTGACTCTAGGGGGCCCTCTGCTGGCCACGGGGCCCTTTGCAATTGCAATGGTCGCTTAGTGGCTGGGCCGGCTCTGCTCCTAATATCTGCGGTTAATCGAATTTCAAAGAAAAATGGCCACGATCAAAGAAATTGCACCGGCAGCATTTGCTTCGACAGGGAGACAACGCAGACACTCGCAGAGACACAGACATGCACAGAGATACGGAGACACACACAGAGACACGGAGACACACAGATACACGAAAACACAGAGACACAAACACCCTCACACATACACGACAACACTACAAAAACACGAACACACTCAGAGACATGAACACACAGAGACAGGGAGACACACACACGCACAGACACGAGACGTACACAAAGACAGGGATACACACACAGACACGTGTCTGTGTGTCTATGTGTTTCAGCTAGCTGATGAAAGTTGCAAGCGAGAATTTCATCATCGCTTGCAGTTGGGGTTGGCATCGTCCCCCACTCCTCCTGCTGTCGAGGGGAAATGGGCGAGGTTTAGGACTGTGACTCAGGCAGCTGCAATGGCTGCTTTGGGTGCGCGGTCCAGACCTCCCCAGAGACCCTGGCTGACAGAGGAGGTGTTCAGGCTGGCTGAGAAAAAGCGACAGGCCCACTCTCATCGGCTGCAGCATCCCACGTCAGAGAATGAAGAGGCTTACCGCAGCCTTCGCTCAGAGGTTCGAAGAGCCGTGAGGCGCTGCAAGGATGGGTGGTGGTCGCGGGTTGCGGAGGAGATCGCTATTTAATTCCATCAAAAAAGTAACCTGCAGCGCCACACCTATTACCATCATTAGGGGAAAGAACGGTGATTCAATCTCCGACCCCCAGGAACAGGTTTGCAGATTTGCTGAGCATTTCTGTGAGGTCCTGGGGGAGGGGAAATCCCTTATCATGGAAAACAACGTGGGACAAAGTGGGGATGACCCTGCCGAGGCTGCGGTGCCTCAAATATTGGAAAAAGAAGTCACCCCCTGTGGCTGAGGTGCCATCTGTTGAGGAAGTACTGAAGGCGATCCAGAGTCTGAGACCAGGAAAGGCACCGGGCAGAGATGATCTTCCAAGTGAAATGTTGTGGGAGGGTGGCGTTTGTGCACAGACTGCCCTACATGACATCATAACAACAGTCTGGACCACTGGACGGGTTCCGCAGGATTGGAAGGATGCCCTGGTGGTCCCCCTCTTTAAGAAGGGAGATCGCACAGACTGTAACAACTACAGGGGCATCTCACTCCTCAGTGTGCCGGGAAAGGTCCTGGCAAGGATTATTCAACATCGCCTTGCTAGGCACGCCGAGGAGAGGCTTGCGGAGCACCAATGCGGTGTCAGGAAAGGGCGATCCTGCACAGATGCCATATTTTCTGTCCGTCTGCTACAGCAGAGGTGTAGGGAATTCCAACAAGACCTACATCTCTGGTTTATTGACCTGGTCAAGGCCTATGATACCATGAGTGGGCCTAGGCTCTGGGTTGTTCTTCGTGCTTTCGGAGTTCCTGACCCTCTGCTCATGATCATTAAGGACCTTCATGATGGTTAGCGGGCCCAGGTAAAACTACGTGGCCGGGAGTTGGAGCCATTCCCTGTACACCTTGGGGTGCGACAGGGATGTCTTCTGGCTCCCACATTATTTAACATCTATTTCGACCACGTAGTTTGTGAAGCCTTCAATAGCTGTACCGGAGGAATTTCCATCAGGTACAGATAAAATGGGAGGCTGATCGATGCCCGGGTGCAGTCGAGGGATAGCTCCCTATTGCTCAACCATGTTATGCATGCCTATGATCTGGTAATTGCTGCTCACTCAGAGGAGGAGTTGGAGGCGCTGCTGCTGAACCTGGAGCTTGCCATTAAGAGGTGGGGCCTTACCATCAGCCCCACCAAAACTAAGTACCTGCCTGAGTATTTTGTACCATCGGACACTCCACCCTCACAACTCCCAATTGGTGATGGGGCAGTTGTGGAGAGAGTGGAGAGTTTCCCATACCTGGGCAGTGTGCTCATGACCGGCTCCGGTTTAACAGCAGAGGTCTCACTCCGAATCAGTCGAGCGGCATTATCTTTTCATCGTAATGCTGTGTGGAGGTACCTGGTCTATCGCTCCGCACTCCGAATCAGTCGAACGGCATTATCTTTTCATCGTAATGCTGTGTGGAGGTACCTGGTCTGTCGCTCCGCACGAAGCTTCAGGTCTTCTCGGCCACAGTCATTCCCTCCCTTCTCTACGCTTGCAAAACGTGTGCCCCCCTCATGGGACATCTTCGCCGGTTATAACCATTTAGGCTGGCCTGCCTACAATCCATCCTGGGTTTAACCAGGCTGGATTGTGTGAGGAGCTCACAAATCCTTGAAAGATCTGGACAAAGTCTCATCGGTGAGCTCCTCCGGCAGGCAAGGCTGCGTTGGCTGGGCCATGTAGCCCGCATGCCAGCCACCGCATGCTTAAACAGCTTTTTTCGGCCGGATCGAGGGGGCTAAACGGGCGCGGAACGGGTTAGAGGAGAGATGGAGTGATGTGGTACAGGAGGACGTGGAGCTGAGTGGACTTGCCGATGACTGGTACCAGCGGTGTCAAGATCAGCCTCTATGGAGGAGGCTCGTGAAGGACGCTACTGGGCAGTTGGAGGCAGTCACCCTCCAACAACAACGGAGGGTGAAGGAGCGACGCTCACAACAACGAGCGGAGCACCGGGTGGCTAAAGCACAGTAAGTTGGCACAGTAGGGGGTACAGGTGGTGCATCAGCCATTCGTCTCAGTCAGTCGACCTGTGCCATCTGGGTCTGCTCCGTAACCTCCTGCCAGCGGGCGTTCGACACTTCACGTGACCTCAAGGTGCACATAGCCTGGCACAAGCGTCGTGGTGACGTCACCACCATTTAGTCGCGAATTGCGGTTGTTGTGTCTGTGTGTCTCCATGTCTGTGTGTGTCTGTGTGTCTACGTGTCTCCATGCCAGTGTGTTTTTTAAACGCCGCACATTGCACATTGTCTGCTAGGCCCCCTGCTGTGCTTCAAATACTCCTATTACCCGCGATATTTTCACGGATAACAGGGGGGTCGGCACTGAAAATTAATCCCATTCCCTGTGGGGTTTCTGTAATTCTTCACCCCGTGGATAAGAAGAGTAAAATTACGGATAACTCCGCGGGTAATGATGTACAAAATTGGTTGCCCACATCACCATGTTCTCCTCTGTGGTGAACTGCACTACAATTCTGATGATCGTTATACATGATTATAATGATAATATACATGACAGTGATTCTATTATTATCATCACCATAGCCGAGATGTGAACTCGTGTTTTTGTTCCTTGGGGAGCCTGATGTGTCAAGCAATTGCCTTCGTATCCCGTGTTTAATCGCGGCAAATTGTTTACCAAGGAACGGCTCACCGAGTCTCAAGACTACTTTTCAAGCGGGGTCCTGCCAATATTTTGCAGTCAACGGCGATGCTGCTGCTGCTGCTGTTGTAACCCACGTTTTTGTAATTGGGAGGTTAATTCTTCAGCACTGGGATGTTTGGCCAACACCGGATGCATTGTGTGTGTGCTTCTACTTTATTTATATTGTAACGCTATGACAGCAAACCTGGTGGAACCCATATGAAGAACAAGGAGAGAATATAGAAACAAATTCCACCCAGAGGGTCTTCTGCCTGGTTGTTACCACTGTGTCACCCTGTACGCCCCGGTATCTACGGCAAGACATTAACGACGTGTTTTATACCGTATACGCATCATTACGTGCAACAGTCTTTACACGTTTAAACATGAACATAAAATCAGCTGGCAGGCTACGCAAAACCGTGACTTCAAAGCAGCATTTACAACCATCTCAGAAGCGTTAAGATAGGATCACTACTTTACTTGTCTCTACCGCCTCCAATAGCGAATGACACTCATTTAAGCAAATTAATTATGCTGCAGGCAATCCGAATGAACATACAGCTCAACGTGTAAGGGGCCGTCCATAAATGACGTCACGCACCTAGGGGGGGGGGGGGGGTCAGACATTTGTGACGATGTGTGACGAGGGGGGGAGGGGGGTTGAGAAATGTGACGTCACATCAAAATGCGCAACTTTAAATAAATACAGACAACACGTTCTACTTAAATATACTTCTTAATAAATGTTTTCTCCTACAACATCAGAGTGCAGCGCCACATTAAATACGCACTACATTGACAATAGTTTAAAGCGATTTGAAGCATGGGGGGGGGGGGGGGCAGAGCTTTGTGACGTCATATTTGAGGGGGGTCAGACAACATAACAGTCAACACCCTATCTGGTTGATTACGTTCTTCCTGAGAATGCTAAAATTTGAGAGAGAGATAAAACACACAACCAGAAACATATAGACAGACATATAAGCAGACAGATATAACAGAGATACATAGAGAGAGCACAAACATAGGAACACAGAGAAACTGCGCCTCTGTGTCGAGGCCTTAAATAGAGAGAGGGGGGGCGTCGGCGGAGAGAGTGGGAGGGGTTAGAGAAATTAGCATGTCCTTGAGTGGCAACGGTGAGTTGCCACTCATTTCTAACTACGTGACTTTACCGAAAGAACCAAAGAGTATGGATTCCTGCAGTCACGAAAGCTTCAAATCAAGATATCTATTACTCGTATTTTGTATTGTTAGAAATAAACATTTTTATTTTATTTCTACCTACGTGACTTTACCGAAAGAACCAAAGAGTACGAGTAATATCTACCGAGTGTTAAATACAACTTGGGACGGTAAATTAGAGTTAGAATGTAAAACATTACGCAGTGCACAGTACAGCGTGGTCCAGATGTATTGTACCCCCCCCCCCATTTAATTATCTATATTTTTAAATGTTTATTTAAAACATAAATGAATATGCAAAGGAAGAACATGTTAGGGGTCAATTAATTGGGGGTCGCAAGGACGAAAAATCATTGCGTGGCTGAACCTCACTGCCTCCTGACTGGAGGCTGGGAACACCGCGTGGCCTGGAGACCCGCGATGGGCCACTTGGGAGAGGCGAGATGGAGACGAGACGGAGATGAAACGGAGACCAGACGCAGACGAGACGGCGCCGCGTGTTGTTCTTCCCCGACAGCAGCATCATCGCGAGCAGTGCAGTTGCGATGCATCACATGATTACAGGAATCTCGCGGTCAACCGCGAATGGTTGAGCCGCAGGGGCACGATCGGCAGCAGCATCATCGCCAATAAAAGTGAGCGATGATGCGAATGGTCAAAGCAGGGCCCAAGTTTGAATCCTAGTTGAGTACGGATCAGATTTAGAGTAACGGCGTTCATTCTTCACAATCGATGTGGGATGAGTGGGGGGTTTGGATGGGAGGTAATTCCAACTTGCATCAAACGGCGCCCCTCCCGATCATTTAATCAGCAGCGTCCAGCAAGCGCCTTGTATTTGTTTTATACTTGATGCACAGAAAATGCCGAAGACGAAATCACCCGTCAGATCTCGGAAGCTTCATCTACTCCTTCCTCTTCGTATGGCTGATGTTGAGCAACATCCGTGATGTGACGCTGAGGTGTTCGAGCCAGATGGTTGCGTCAGGAGTGTAGCGCAGCAGTGCGTCGGATGTCACGACGACACCTTCGTATTTGTGTTTTTTTATGAATCAAGTCACTCGAGTCGCTACAGCTCGTGTCGCCATGTGTTTCTGCGTGAATACATTTTCGGTTTTACTCTCCGTTTGTGCACCATCCAGAGTCCACGTCTGCCAGTGTTTGTGCGCGGATGCGGCACGGCCCGGTTGTGGCGAGATCGAAGATCGCGAATGATCTTCCATTGGGTCTTTCACGAGGAGGGTGTTTTGTGACTTCTTGTGACTCCGTTTTCGGATTTCCGAGCGCCGTCACCGGGGTTTTGAAGTTGCACTTTCCAAAAGGGCTTCGCTGTTCGACTTCAAGTGGCGGCGGTTCGTCTCTTATCCTCCCGTCCCATGTTTTTGCACTCCAGCAATGGGTTTGATAACTGGTTATAGGGGCACCTATAGTTTTCTCTTTGGAAGTACTGAGGAACGTTGCATGTACTGTACGTATCTTAACATTCGCTCGCACCGTACGTAGCCGACCGTGCTAATTGGAGGTGCGGGGGAAGGACGACGAACTGAATATAAAAAAGCAGTTCTAAAGAAACGAGTGTTAAATCTTGATCGAAAAGTGCATCGCTCCAGTGGCTTCCGAATATGAGAAGGAAGAAGAGCGTTCCAGACGGCCGCAGAAGCGCGTCTGCAAGCGCGCGATGGCAGTGACCGCCGTCTGTATTCGATGGCCAGCAGCCAAAAACAGCCGCTGCCGTGAGGATAGCCGGATTTCGATTTTAACGCAAAGCCTGGAACCCGCATCACCCTCGCATGAGCCCCGTGGAAAATACAACTACACGGTTCTATAGAGTGATTGTGTCCACCGCCAATTAGCATTTGTCCCATTTCAGATCTGTCTCTCTCTATGCCAAACTCGGCATGTCTGAACAGAAGGGCTGTGAATTTTGCACGAGGGCTGTGCATGCAATACGCAAGGCAGACCCGTGCCGTTATCGATGAAGAAGGGCCATTGATTATATATATTTATTTTAAGGCCGCAGTGTTGTTGACGAGTGTGTTGAGTTTTCGTTGTTGTTGTTGTTGTTACTATCCCCAATGACTAATTAACCACAACAATTCTGATAAATAAGTCAGCCATCAGCTGGTGATGCTGAGTAAGGCAAAGTGGTAGATTGAGAGGCACGTGGCAGCTGACTTCATCACGGTGGTTACCTTCAAGCGCTGTCGAAATTCTGCCTTGATTTCTCCTTGTCGCTGTAAAGATGAAATGCTGGGATTAAAATAAAATCTCATTTTAGTGTCTGGCCATGGTGGTAAAAGTATCGGCGGCTAAACGCTATCGGAGAGCAATTCCTGGGAGAATCATGGGTGGTGACGCTTCCTCCTTCGAACAAAATGTTTTACGGATCATGTTCCGGAAAGGAAACTATGGCTATTTTAAGACGACAAGGGCTTAATTTAACGCATGTTTGTTTCGTCTCGAACCATTGTCTTCTACTAAAACCATCTCGAGCGTTCACATTTCGCTTTGCAGATCTCAAAAATTGGTGCGTGTGTAAGGGGCCGTCCATAAATGACGTCACGCACCTGGGAGGGGGGTCAGACGTTTGTGACAATGTGTGACGAGGTGGGGGGGTGAGAAATGTGTTTGCGTCACTTCAAAATGCGCAACTTTAAATATAGAATTGTTATAGCAACACTAATTGTTATAACAACACTCCTACAACATCAGAGTGCAGCGCCACATTTATTACGCACTACAATGACAATAGTTTAAAGCGATTTGAAGCATGTTTTATTTTCAAAATGGAAATATGGTTTGGGGGGGGGGGGGCAGAGCTTTGTGACGTCATAGTTGAGGGGGGGGGGTCTGACTTTTTGTGACGCTGTGTGACGAGGGGGGGGGGACAAAAATCGTCCAAAATCGCGTGACGTCATTTATGGACGGCCCCTAAGAAGAAGCCAGGTTTTCTGACCTTCTGTAAGATCCTACAAAGGAAGCAGTTCCCACACAGCCAGTGATCTCTACCGTGGCAAAGATGAAGAATGTTTAGCCATGTTTGTAAACGCCATGTGCACAGCACAGGCATGCGCAATATTTCGTACACGTTGCCAATTATAGACTTTCGGCACAAGATATAAGGCACGTCAACATTCACATCAGGATAACATGTACATCCATATTGATTTAAAAATTTCGTAACTGCAGGAATTCATATTCTTGGTTCTTTCGGTAAAGTCACGTAGAAGGGAAACAATAAAATAATAAAAAATATAAAACAATAAAATTCTCACGACGTTTCGCTGTCCGTGGTGCTAACGTTAAGAAAAAACCGCCACTTTTTTCAAATTTTCTTGCTGTGGTTTTCACACCTGATGACGATTGCTTGTGTTGCAGTCGAAACGTCGTGACAATTTTATTGTTTTATATTTTTATTATTTTATTGTTTCCCTTCTACGTGACTTTAGCGAAAGAACCAAGAACATGAATATGTACATCCATATTTGGAACTGCAACACCATGTAATGTCTTTCATAAATAGGACTAAATATCATGATACTTTTATAAGCACGGAAGTTTTATCTTCTTATCAGAACATTTAGTAATGATGTGGAATGCCCCTAAACAGTGCAAACTATCGGTGTCACTTCTTATTACCTCCTTTACTTGCAGCAGTAGGTCGCGTTGGGCGTACACAGACTTTATTTTACATGTTGACATTCGGAGTTACTCGATGGAAAACTCATTTAGAGCTGATGTTCGTATTGTTTGTTGTCTTCCCCAGTCCTCCGATTAGCATGGTTGACTACGTACGGTGCGAAAGAAGCTCAACATACACAAATGCTAGAAATACTGTTGCCAGTAGAATGACTCATCACAACTTATACCAATAATGTTTTTAAATTACGTTTTAAGAGCGTTGTGGAAATTATTTCAAGCAACGGCCAATGCCTACTGTGGGCGATATGCACAGAGATTGCCACGACTCGTGCAGCTGATGCAGCCTCACCGTCCATAAGGCCCCTTGCAAGAGAATATCAAAAGGCCCTGAGCGTGGCCAAGTCCACACCGCATGGCTGAATGCAGTGGCTCTCAACCGCGGGTGCGCGGCGGACCTCTGAAGGTATGTAGCAGTGTCCCAGGGGGTACGTGAGGCGATGTTTAACACATTCCTGCGGAGGGAGCTGGTAGGAACGTTGGGTTGCTCGGTCAATGGCCAGGGTCAACGGCGGCATGGTGTATTCTGCAAATATGGCCGACTGTGAGGGCGGGCACAAGCCGGCGTGAGTAGGTTAAACGTTGAGTTTTATAAGGGCACCACGGGGTGACCAGCCCCTCCCCACCCAGCCCCACCCCTCCCCACCCAGCCTCACCCCTCCCACCCCCCACCCTCCCCACCCAGCCCCTCCCCACCCGCCCCTCCCAGCCCCT